CGGTTGCTCCTAGCTGTCCTGTGACCTGCCGTTCCCATTTCTACTGGACGCCACCTCGGTCCTGCACAAAAACTGCCTAAGCGAATCCCATCCAACGCCTCCTCGACCGCTTTATCCTCCGGTGCATGTTCAGTCTCTTCGGGTGCAGCCTCTTGCAGTGCAGCTGCCAGAACTTCTGCACGTCACCAACTGCAAGCACTTTTCACATTGCCCTGCCTCCTCCGCGTCCATCTCCTTCTCTGCACCCTCCACATCCTGCAAGCCAACATGCGCTGCTTGCCAAAGAAAGTGGCAAGGTCCATCTCATGCGCAACACTGTGGCAGTCCTCGGCTGTGTCCTCCTGCACCTGATCGGGAGCCGCCTGCGAATCGAGGTGACGTGTCTTGCAGGTTTTCAACAGTTCGATGTGTCAGAACGGTTCATCCCAGCTCGTGCTCTGTTCTGCCGTTCCCGTTTCGATTAGATGCTACTTCGGTCCTGCACAAAACCTGCCTAAGCGAATCCCATCCAACGCCTCCTCGACCACTTCCTGCTCCGGTACATCTTCAGCCTCTTCGGGTGCAGCCTCCTGAAGTGCAGCTTGGCGGCACTTCCGCACATCACAAACCGCAAGAACCATTCACATTGCCGTGCCTCCTCCGCTTCCATCTCCTTCGCTGCACCCTCCACATCCTGCAAGCCAACATACCCTCCATGCCAAAGAATTGGCAAGTCCATCTCATGCGCAACCTGTGGCAGTCCTCCGCTGTGTCCTCCTGCACCTGATCGGGAGCCGCCTGCAAACGAGGTGACGTGTCTTGCAGGTGTTGTCAGAACGGTTCATCCCAGCTCGTGCTCTTTTCTGCCGTTCCCGTTTCGATTAGATGCCACTTCAGTCCCGCACAAAACCTGTCTAAGCGAATCCCATCTAACGCCTCCTCGACCACTTCCTCCTCCGGCGCATCTTCAGCCTCTTCGGGTGCAGCCTCTTGCAGTGAAGCTGCCAGAACTTCCGCACATCACAAACTGCAAGCACCTTTCACATTCAACTGCCTCCTCCGATTCCATCTCCTTCTCTGCACCGTCCACATCCTGCAAGCCAACATACCCTCCCTGCCAAAGAAAGTGGTAAGTCCATCTCATGCGCAACCTGTGGCAGTCCTCGGCTGTGTCCTCCTGCACCTGATCGGGAGCCGCCTGCGAATCGAGGTGACGTGTCTTGCAGGTTTTCAACAGTTCAATGTGTCAGAACGTGCTCGGTTCTGCCGTTCCCGTTTCGATTAGATGCCACTTCGGTCCCGCACAAAACCTGCCTAAGCGAATCCCATCCAACGCCTCCTCGACCACTTCCTGCTCCGGTGCATCTTCAGCCTCTTCGGGTGCAGCCTCCTCAAGTGCAGCTTGGCGGCACTTCCGCACATCACAAACCGCAAGCACCTTTCACATTGCCGTGCCTCCTCCGCTTCCATCTCCTTCTCTGCACCCTCCACATCCTGCAAGCCAACATACCCTCCATGCCAAAGAAGTGGCAGGTCCATCTCATGCGCAACCTGTGGCAGTCCTCGGCTGTGTCCTCCTGCACCTGATCGGGAGCCGCCTGCGAATCGAGGTGACGTGTCTTGCAGGTTTTCAACAGTTCAATGTGTCAGAACGGTTCATCCCAGCTCGTGCTCTGTTCTGCCGTTCCCGTTTCGCTTAGATGCCACTTCGGTCCTGCACAAAACCTGCCTAAGCGAATCCCATCCAACGCCTTCTCGACCACTTCCTGCTCCGGTGCATCTTCAGCCTCTTCGGGTGCAGCCTCCTGAAGTGCAGCTTGGCGGCACTTCCGCACATCACAAACCGCAAGCACCTTTCACATTGCCGTGCCTCCTCCGCTTCCATCTCCTTCGCTGCACCATCCACATCCTGCAAGCCAACATACCCTCCCTGCCAAAGAAGTGGCAAGTCCATCTCATGCGCAACCTGTGGCAGTCCTCGGCTGTGTCCTCCTGATCGGGAGCCGCCTGAGGCCATGTCGTGCAGATTTTCAAGAGTTCGACCTGGACTGCTGCGCTCCTGCTGAAGAGTTGCTACATGCAACAGCATTTGTGAGGGAAAAGCAGCATCGTATTGGTACAGAGTTTCAGGTTTCCGTGCATCTGTGCAGAAACTCTTAATCCTCCCACGTCCAGATGTGCGGAGCCCGCCTCTGCGTCCTGCTCTTCTGAGGCTACCTGCTCCCGGCCAGCAAAAGACCGCCGGACACTCGAACAGCTATGGTGCAAGAAGCAGAATTCGCACACTCTGTAAAACTGCAAAACCCTAGATGCCAGTCTCCTCCGGATTCACCTCCTCAGCAGAATCCTCCGAAGGTTCCATTGCCTGGTGACTGCGATTATTCAGCCGCACATGCACATCAAAGTCGTGAAGGAACCTGGTCTGAAACGACTCCCACGATGCTTTCCACAGGCTAGTCTGGCTGTGATGCACCGACTGCTCGCCTTGTTTGCAGGTAGGGTCATGTCCTCTGCCGTTGTCTCATCCGGAGCCAGCATTTTTGCAACGATCAAGTTCAGCGTGTTGTGCTCTGCTCGAATCTTTGAAGCGGACGCTTCAGTTTTGCCTACTTTTGGCTTCGCGGTGTGAGACTGAAGGCTGGTCATCCGAACGACAGTTGTTAGACGGACGAAGTTGATTTAGGCATGGCCTCCACATTCGGAATTGCAGCTTCCTCTTCCTGCTGGAGCTGAGTCACGTCTGCCTGCAATTGCAGGGGCTCTGACCCTCTTTACGACTTGGAGTGTGCGATGACCTGCGCCGAAAGCTCTTCAGGAGCAGATGCTTCCTCTGCATCCAGGACCTGCAGCCCAGTACAAAGGATCGCGGATGGGAAGTAGAGAGTGAAAGAAGTACTCTCGCTCTCTCGCTCCCTCTGCCGCTGCATCCAGAACGGTAAGATGACAGATGCCCAAGCCTCCCCATCCCCCTCGCCCTCCAACTCCTCTGCCTGCGATGGAAGATCATGCAGCACATCACAAGGCACAAGTGTTCACAGATGTTGCTTCACACGACGGAAGACGCTACTACGCGTTGCCGCGATGACACCGAAACCCAGGCCTGTGCATCGTTGATGTTTTCCAGGAACTCCTCCAACAGCATGAAGTTACCCCCATTAGCCCTCCCTCGATTCTTCGACCATTGATACCCCATGCTACTAGACTAGGCCTAGGCCCTAGACCATGCAGGCTGAACCCAGCACCTCTCGTATCCCGCCAGTTGAACATCTGCTCAGCCTCGGCAGCAGCAGGCTCCAGCTCAGCTTCTTCAACTTCTTCCTCTTCTCCCTCTTCGACGTGATCATCATCCTGCATGGCAACAAGCTTTCAGCAACTCTTGCAGCAGGAACAGCATACAGACCTCGCCATTGTTGCAGAGCTCGTCGGTCGGAATCTCCTCCTCTCGTGCACGCCGCTGCCAAACTGACAAGGAACGGTCCAGACCATCCAAGAGTTGGTCCTGGTCACCGCCGTACTCATCGGCCACAGCCTCCTTTGGCACAGGAGGGGCAAGCGACAGACAACCCAAAGCGGTACAGAATCGGCTCCTCGTGGCTGCCACTTTCTTCCTGAATGTCCTCATCAACCACGCCTTCCTCGAGACTACAGAAAACGAAGCCCTATCCAGTAAGCTACTTTACAAGAGCGGCTGGATCGGCTAGATCATCCCAGTCACCATGTCAGTGGCGGCAGTGTAGTACGCCATCGCATGTGAAGCCAGATTACCCTCTGAGCACACTGTCTCGAGCCAAGCACAGAAACAAACTTCAGATACATCTGACGAGAAACGACTCCATGAAGCAGAGTCGTGAGCCGGAAGAACACCGCCGGAACCGCAGAAATACGACTACCCCTGATGCGCTCTCCTCTCTAGGGAGGCCCCGAACCTGCAAAGCATCGCGAAGCACACCCCCGCATCCAAGATCGATCAGCGACGTGATCTTTACCATCTTGCGACCCATTTATGCATGTGTATGTCTGCGACAGCACTACCAGCGGGCCGAGACTCCATGTCCCTGCCTCCTCAATCATAGTGACAACCTGGTTCTGAACTTCATGGCCTGGGCTGTCTGGGCGGTAGGAGCACTCGGGGACAGGTCAGCAGAAAGGCAACCTCCCAACTGGCAAGAGCTCGAGCTTTTCAAGCACGCGGATAGTGTCTGCACCTCTCGTTCTGCAACCGGTCTCTTCAAGACAGGCGCAGTGCAAAATAAGCTTGGCCGCCACTGACTTAAGCCACTGCAAGTAGGGCTTGGTGGGATTGTTGGACATGCCGTTAGCTTGCTGGCAGCTGCGGCTAGGCAGGGTGATTGATCACTGACTTCTACGCACACATGCGATCTCTTAATATCATAAAGGAAGAAGCGTTTCATCCAGCACGGTGCTTACGATCCGACATTCAAGTTCGAACAGCACAAGCCTGTATGGACCGCACCACGGGCAAGCATGTCCTACTTGTCTGGAGACTGTTTGGGCAGATCCACCATCGAGCTCAAGCAGCAAGAGTGGAGGTTCAGCACAAAAGCCCCCGAGGTTTAGGGAACATAGCAAGCCGCCCATAACAGGCTCCGTTCGGCATGCTGGAGGAATCCCCATAAGTGGCATTAACAAAGACCTCTGATCAGGTTTCAGCTCAGGTGCGATTGAAATCTCACAAATGACCTCTCCCGTTGCATCCGGTGCAGTCTTCGCAGAAGAAGCACCTCTCATCGCTGTCCTGTCTACATCTTCACGCTGGTCTTTATACTCATGTAAGCGACCTGCCCTGCGAACACAGTAGCGCACAGAGACAATAAAAACGGAACACATGTACTGACAAACTGGTCCTTGTCATGGTTCATTCAGGAGTTATGGGAAAAACCCCGGCCATCACACTTATAGCATCGCTGAGCACCGCCTCCAAAGAAGCCGCCGATCCCACCGCCAGAGATGTGGCCAGACCCATTGCAGCCAGTGCAGTCTGTGCAGAAGAAGCACCTCTCGTCTTCATCCTTGGCCAAAGGTTGACATCAAACTCGTAGGCACGAGCCACTCTGTCCGTTCTATGATCGACAGGATTCCTTGTCATGCCTCATGGAGGAGTCGTGCGAGAAGCCACGGCCATGGCACTTGTAGCAGCGCTCCTTGCCGCCGAAGCCTCCAAGCAAGGCACCTCAAGGGCTGCCATACCCTTACATACCCTTATCTTATAAGCTCACTGACTCAATGCCGGCCAATTCGAATGTCTCAGGCTGGTATTTTTGCGCAACGCAGCCTCCAAAGCCGCCGTGGCCCTCAGAGATGTAGCCTCTGCCACTGCAGCCGGAGCAGTCTGTGCAAAAGAAGCAGCGCCTGAGACACAACGGCAAAACCACAGACGCCGCACAGCGTCCACCGCACTCGTCATGGTAGTTGTAGTAGGTGGCTCCGTCACCGGAAAAACTCTTGGACACCCCATGCAATGCTGCCAAGAAGCTCATCCCAGGATTTGTCGTGGTTCATGGACGAGTCGTGAACGAAGCCTCGACCTGCAGGGCTGCTGCTACCAGCCAACCTAGCACACGAACTTCAGGGTTTCTGAGGTGATCGCAAGCTGCCGGCTGCCCAATCCTAATTCAATCGTACGCAGAGGAAACACTCCGACCTTCACATTTGAAGCAGCGCCCTTCGTGATGGTGCTCATGGCGGTTGTATCCCCATTCTTGGTGGTGATTGTGATGGTCATGGTGGTGGCCGGAGAAGCCAGAGAAGCCAGCTGAACCATACGCAGCATGATGTCCAGAATCATAATCGTGGCCAGTGCCTGCAGTTCATAAAGTTGTTGAAACGGTCGTGAACCCTCTAAGGGAAAGCAAAACCAAGCCCCTTTCCGAACGTGTATCTCTTCTGTGGCCTGCTAAGTTATGCAAACTTGTCCTCCCCACAGAAGGTCTTTGGCAGCAGTGGGCCGATGTGTGCAAGGGCCGGCCGAACGGAAACCCACCCTACAGAAGCAACACAAAGTGATTAGATTAGTAATACAAAAGAACACATCTATAAGGAAGGGGAAAGCCAGGAAACGGTGGACCCCGAGCATGGCGCCCAGCCCAGCCGCCAGCCCCGCAGCGCCAGCAACGCCCGCCGCTAGCTTCGCACCATCGCCAAAACCAAAGCCTGGCCTCGAGACAGAGTGAGGAGGCTTCCCTTCTTTCTCAGTGTGAAGATTCCGGGGCGCCTGTGTCTACAGATTCCGTTTTGCACAGAGAGCGGCCACTGGCAGGAGAAGAGGAAACTGAGCACAGGACTTCGATTGGCCCCCAGGGAAGGCTTGCCCCTGCACCGGCACTCCTGGGGTGAATCCTTGGGCCTGTATTGGCACAGGCACGCCCTGTGCTGGCAGAGCTCCTGGGAAAGCTTGTGCTTGTACTGGAACGGCTTGCCCCATCGGAACGGCTTGTCCCATCATGGGTGTGCCTTGCACTGGCACCGCTTGTCCCATCACAGGCTGTCCTTGCACTGGCAAAGCCTGCCCTGGTATAGCCGCTTGCCCAACCACAGGCTGCACTGGCAAAGCCTGCCCTGGCACAGCCGCTTGCCCAGGCTGAACTTGCACTGGCATGGCTTGTACTGGGAGGGCTTGCCCTGGCATGGCTTGCTGTATTGGTGAGACCTGCCCGACTGCCTGTCCTACGACGGGCTGGCCCACTGCCGGCAAAGCCTGAGCTACAACAGCCTGCGCGGCTGGAGGCTGTGCCTGGCCCATCATGGCCTGCGCTGGTACAGGCTGGCCAGTCACAGGCATCGTCTGTCCCATGGCAGGCTGCACTTGCGCTGGAATTGCTTCTCCGGGCACGGCTTGCTGCACAGGCATCGCTTGGCCCGTCACCGCCTGTCCTACAGGCTGCCCCACTGCAGGCGAAGCTTGAGCCTCAACAGGAATCTGGCCCACCACAGGCTGTGCCTGATCGACAACCGCTTGTGTTGGCACAGCCTGTCCGAGGGAAAGTGTGGCCTGCTGCTGTGGCGGCGCAGCCACAGGCACAGCCGACACAGGCTGTACTGCCTGCTGAACAACTGGATGAGCAAGTGGTTGCGAATATTCGGGTGATAAAGCTGGAGCCGAGGGGGCAATGTCCATCATTGCTTGCGTGGGATCAATCGGTGCCTGCACCACTGCAACTGCTGCAGCAGGCGTTCTTGGTCCCTGGGGATAGGCTACTGCAACTGCCGGCATGGCAGCCGGTGCTACTATGGGGTTGGCCGCTGGAGCAGCCACTGCTGGCTGAGCGTAGGCCGGTGCGTAAGCCGGAGCTGCTGCCGGCTGCAACCATTGCTGCAGCGCTGGCAGCCGAGCCTGGGAGTGAAGTGTTCCTCAAGCCTACACTGCCCACACAAGCCTCCAAACTCAGAAATGAATGCAAACCTTGCAACAAGGGATTGCAGCTGCTGTGCAAGCTGTGCCAGGTAGTTGGCAAGGCCGGCTCGGCGCTTCTCGTTGAAGTCACCGATGTTGAACATTGCTCGGAAACCGAAGGTACCTGTCAAAACAAAACCAACCAAGACAATAGAATCAATGGCATCAACACAATCAACATATCAAGCTCGACTCGTGCCGCTGTCTGTAGAGATATGAAAAACTCGGCTTACAGCCATGGGCGACAGTCATGTGCAGAGCATGGTAGAAAGACTAAAGACCACATGCAAGCGAAGCGAAGCAGGGTCCAAGAATCATATCAACAACATGCGTGAGCCTAAGCTGGGAAAGAGGAATCACGAGCACGATGATGCGAGCAAAAATAACCAAATAATAGTATGGCGGCGATAAAGAAAAATCTGATACTCACGATGTTTACTATATTGGGTTCGCAGCATAAGTACAGTCACAGCCCAGTACATCATGCTCATTCTTGACAGTAGTAACCGTCGCACTCACAGAACTGAGAGTAGCAACAAGAGCAACCAGTCATCATCGTCATCATCATAATCATCATCATCATCATCGTCAGCGTCATATACCTACCGGGGCATGAGTATAGTGCAATGTCGTATGAGCCGCTGCACTTGAGGCTTAGGCTACTTACGCTATCTCGAAGCGGTGCCCTTATCTCGNNTCTCGTTTCATCATGTTAAGTACTGGCAAAAAAATCTCTCGTTCAAGCGTCTTGAGTAACAGCTCACTAGCACTCGCACCAGTAACAGCAATGGCTATCGGCTATTAGTAGTAGTAACAATAATGGTAGTAGTCCTGGTCCTAGTCCTAGCCGTGGTCGCAGGAAAAAGTAGTCGTCGTTGTCGTCGTAGTAGTGGTAGTGAATGGGACATTGGCCAAGGGCTCCGTCAATGCTTTGGATATCGTTTTGATCTCGTTTCCTTACCATCTCGTTTCGATCCGACTGCATCACACCCGAAATCGCCGTGACTCTACATCGTGCTGTGGGAAACAAGCGCTCCCTCCCAATGAAGTGTCGATGGGCCACTTCAAATATCTATGCCAACACCCCAGAGCACCCGCAATCCCTTCTGTCACAGAATCATGCCCCACAAACATCGCTGTCAGCTTCGACTTCAGATAGGACTGCATCTTGTCATAAATATGCTGTACCCCTATCTCGTTCCCCTCGTAGAGCGAGTTCCGACAAACCAAATTCCGCAAGGAGGTATCTTTACCAAGGAGCGTAGTATTGACACAAATCAAGACGTCGCTCATGTGACAGTCGCACTACGTAGTATTTATAAGCGGTGCTCCACCAAACTATCCTGTAATGCTAGCAACAGCAAAACTCATCGGAGTGCTGCGGCTCTACGGGAGTTTCACCTCTTTGGGCACCCTGGACGTATGGACATACTGATGTCAATCTGTGTCGCACGAACCAAGGAGATACCGCACGCACAACAGGGGTCGCTAAATGAAAGCCCATGTACAAGACATCTGCGGCAAGTATAGTATCAATGGCATCTCTTCCAGATGATTCCTCGAACAACCAACTGTCTGTTTGTGCTGGTGTACATGGCCTTGCTATCCGCCAAGCTCATTCGGCTCAGCGCAAACGGGAAGCCCTGCCTATTTTAAGAAGCCTCGAAAACAACATGAGGGATGTGGATGCCAGAATGCTGTCGACATGGAAGACACTGGTGAATCACGATCTTGCCTGTCCACTTCAACAAAACATGCTAATCCCACCCATGCAGTCGTAGTGCAAGGATCGAGAATTCCTACCGCAGGCCGTAATCATGATGCCAAAATGCACCAGGGCAACGAATGTTCATAGCATGAACGACAGTAACAGCGTAGCACGATCATAAAAATCCTGCTGATGGGGCATGCAACGCGTCAACAGCCAGTAACAGCTAATAGAATATCAACAACACTCACCGAGAAAATGATGGAAGGGAAGCCTGCCTTTTTCAGGGAAAGGTGGTCTCACAAAGGGTGACGTAGATGTAGAAAGCATTGCGTCCAGATGTGCAAACTCATTGAAGGTTTTCTTCACGAGCCACTGCTTCTCATTCTCGACAACCCGGATGTGGTACCAAACAACACCTCCAGAATACCGTGCTACGACTTGCAACGTGTCCCGTATCAAAGGACTTGTTGCAACTCGAAGTGCTATGCGAGGCGAAATGCCTGTTGCCATGCAGATAAACAATGCAACATGTCACCTGTCGTTCTAACTCTGTGCTGCGCCGGTGCACTAAGCATGCCTGCTATTTCGGTGGGGTGACATCCGACATTGCTCCCGATACCCAGCCTGACATCTCCGTTTGGTCGACCAGCTGCAGATGCACGGCCATGATTGATGACAACTTGTGGGAGGGATTGAGGTGGAGAGCCTTGATAACTCAACGGCCGAAGGGCAAAGCCAAAGAATGCCAGCGCAAGCGCGAGCAAGAAAAAACCTGCAAAGTTTAGATCGAAAGCGGCCTTCAGAACCAAGGATGGCTCAAGGCCTGTGTGAATGCTCCCGACTAGCTATTACCGCTACTGTTACAGTAACCTCAATGGCTGAAACCCGTCAGCAGCAGCCTCATCATCACAACCAAACTGTCAGCGCAAGAAACCCGACACCTCTTCTGGCCCTGCTGCTGCTAGAACTTCTACGACTACTACTGCAACGACTGGACGATGACGACACTACTTCATGCTGATGAGCCAAGTGCATGGCGCTCATCCACTGGCACGCAGAGGCTGTGCGCCAAGCCAGCCAACAGCATGTGCTGGCACGCCTCGAAAGAAATCACCATAGCATTCGGCGACAAAACGATACAAACATACGTCAATGAGAAAGCATGCTCCGAACTAGGAGCATGCAGTGCTGGCATGGCAACAGTTGTGCGCGGAATCCCTGACCAACGCTCATTCAACACTTGTGCACCTAGGCAAGCCTGGTCGTTGCACACAGGAATCACGTTTTCTTCCTTCGCGGAAGTACTGACCAAGGACAAGGCTACTATGCCTTTGGCAAGGCCGGAACAGACATTGGATGAACAGAGCGCTGGCCACACACCATCGCTTGACCGGAAGCCCCACCAACACGGAGCCCAGTACCAAGAATCCTCGCACGCACACCCGAAAACTGCAACCCATGGACCATTGGCATAGGAAACTGCGTCTACAGGATGCCTATGTTTTCAGTGTCCGGAAGAATCATGGATGGAGATTGATCGTAGTACGTGAGGCGGCTCAGCAATCACAGCAAAGATGAGAGACCAAGAATGTGGTTCCTGTACCTGGATCCTCCCGAGAGCTCACTGCTCAATTCGCTCGCTCTATCCAATCCTGTCAGGCAGATGATCAACCTCGGAAGTCCACAGCAAAGGCAGCCAGCACATCCAGCTGCCATGGTGGTGGGTCCGGTGTAGCGCTCATGAAGGAACGTAGCCTCGGGCGCAAAACCGCGTGGTTTGGGTGCCTGAGCAGGACCGGTTGCATTCCCCATTCGCGTTGGAATCGGGGCACTACCTGCCACAACTGTAGCTGTGGCGCCCGAGGGGAGTGGAAGGGTTATTCATGGGCAGGTACATGTGGTTGACGCCTCCTGCAACCAACCGCTGGCAGCCGGCATTGCTGAGATGCAAGCATACGGCACGATCTTGTCAGCGACGGCATCGTCGAAGTTCAGCGAATTGCGGTAGGTCACCTCATCTTTCTCGCACAGGTCCATATCACCTCTTCGAACAGCCATTGTTTGGATTGCGGAGATACAATCCATTGGACTCATGCACCAGCCACAGCACATCACCTAGTTTTTCGACCTTGCCAAAGAAGTTCTCACCACTTGGGAGGTCATGTCAGCTTTGTCCTCGTTGTTCATTCTGCTACGATACCGCACTTGGCCCTCTGGATAAGTACATCTGTAGGCCCGCATCTTTGCTGGCGGAATGGGTCGAGTCAAAGCTGTCCAAAGCGATGGCTCAGGCAGGGCAGGACCACTTGAGCCAATACAACAGTGTCGGAGACATCATGAAGACAATGCTGCCAAGAACAGTAGACACCATTAAAGCATGATGATCACCACTAGCATCATGGAAACAAACATGATACAACATGTAGTAGCGCAAGCTGACGTAAACCCAAGGAGGCAAGCATCAACTCCTAAACTGCTGGCCCCCAACAAATGTAACGGAAGCAACGGTCTGCGTCCTGCTTGGAGGTTGACTGTGATTAACAGAGCCCTCGGTGAAATCCTGACACTGCCTCTAGAAGTCTGAGCAGAACCAGCTCCCTCAATGCCGGCGGGTCCTCCGGAATCTCTGCAAGGGGATGAGTCAAAGCCTCCATTACCTTGTTGAAACCTGGGCTCATGGTTTTGGAAAGACCCTCCAACTCTTGCCCAAATGCCGCGGCAACAGGCCTCATGATGCCTCACTGCATCCATCCGTTGCGACAGAATCTGCGTCTACGTTTGGCTGTGGCGGCTGGGTTCCACTCACGTGCTGCCGAGCAGCTTCTTTGCGAAACGCCCAGCTTCTTCAGAATAGTGGCCTCACATTACATGAACGAAACCCCATCCAACGCTTCCTCTGCCCGCCCACATGCCAACGCAGCACGGCAGCATTCTGCTTTGCCAGCGGCTCTTCTGCAGGCCTCACGTTTTCCACAACATCACGACATCCGCCCGACTGCGGGGCACCAGCCTATCAGGGTAAGTCGAGGCCCGAGCTTGCCCGCCGCCTTGCGCTTTGGGGCCATCGCAAGGAAGAGGGTGTGCGCTGAGCTCTGGGCCCCAGTCAGACAAATGCTTGAGTGCATGGCCAGGCGGTCAGGCGAACACAACGTTTACCACCCCGAAATCCCGAAATGCAAAACTCAGAACCCGGATAGCCGCTTCAAAGCTCCGAGCTACGAGGATCTCCCATATAAGTTCTTCTCGCACCCTGCTTTGCCGCCGCCTCGAAAGTTCTTCACGGATATGACAGGCGGTCGCACTCAGCAGCCTACGTCCGCACCATGCCCTTCTCCAAGAGTGCTTCGTCCCCCGAATCCCAGATCGGCGGATCGGCATCATACGCGGGCTCTGCAGCCTCGGGGTCCTCTTCCTTCGAGTCGGAAGCCTGGGACCTGCAAACAGACTTTACGTCCTGCTTCAGCAGTGACCCATATCGAAGCTGAAGAAATTTCGCGGTGACTGGACAAAGCCCATATTCCGCCACCGAAGCATTCACTGGTGTTCTTTGCCGGGAGACACTGTTCAACACGTACAAGCTCCGGTTGTTCAACGTCCAATACGACGAATGGAACCGTGCCACGGCTAGTGGCAGGTCCGCCGGTGTCAGCTTCCCATTCTTCAGGTCTTTGGCCACTGCCTCCACACTACGTCCTTTAAACCGACCGTGGATAAACTTACTAGCAATGGAGGTCTGCGTGAACTTTATATCCGACACTGGGACCATCTTGCGTGCAGGCGCCATGCTGCCGAAGAGATGCTCATCCCCCCCACATTCCTTGAAGATGTCTGCGAGGAGCTTGCTGAGCAGTGGAAGCTCAGCCAGCAGAGGTCGGAATGGTACGGAAGTTGCATCGGCCGACTCTTCAACTTCTGCATCAGCACCCTCGCGCAGAGCAGGAAGCGGAGGCATCTTCGTGCCTGATTGCGAGCTGGCGCCCTGCGACTGCAAAAGCTTCGGGGCATCATCCCGAGCTGGGCCCTTCTTTGCCAGTTCCATGTTGTTGGTCGCTTCTCCATGCTTCACAAGGTCTTCGCGGTTGCCACAAGCGTCGGGTACAACAGGGTCGGGCTGAGCAGAGACCGCGACGCCAAGACATTGCACGAAAAAGTCCAGCATCATTTCACGCTGTTCTTCTCCAGCGCTTAACCGCTCGACGTCTTCTTGACGGACCTCTCCCGGCAGCTTGCGGCAGATCTTGCGATCTTCTGTCAGTATCCAGAACCCCTCTTTGCGCAGAGCTTCAAGTTCCGCACACTCTCGCCGAAGCTCTCCGTTTTCCCACGCAGTCGCCAGAAATTTGTACACTGCGAGCAAATGTCGAGACTCCTGCTGCACGGTGCGGTGTAGCAAGGCAAGCAGCACGAAGCACGTCGGATCAAGGATTACTGCCAGCAGCTGCTCAGCCATGCGCTTCAGCTCCACTGAATCCCCTGCTGCCTCCTCCACGTCCACTACAAACTCGGGACCAGCAAATTGGATGAATTTCGGCCCCAGCAGACGTTCCGAATACTTCCGCTTCTCAGGCTCGCGGCCTACCACACGGATGCGACCAGAGCGGTCTTCTATCTCGCATTGGCCGCGCAGCTCCTCCAGATCAATGTTCGCGTGGGCATAGAAGTTCAGAAGTGCTCGCAATTCTCCCACAATTCCAGGAAGTGCGAAGAGACCCTTCGGCAGCCGAACACCGGCCACACACGGGCATGCACCCAAGCGCAGGAAGACAAGCTCCCACCAAAGCCTGGCCTTCACGCCATTTGTCTGCGGTGGCTCTAAGACCACATCCCCATGCTCATCCGACGAGTCCCAAGAGTTGCGGAGTGGCCGGGAGCCAAGGAAGAATGGGCACCGCAACTCCCTGGCATCACAGCGGAGCCTGCCTCCACCACCACGAGATGGAACCAGAACTGATCGGAGCAGGGCCTCCATTTCCTTCGGAGTCTGGTCCGACAACCACTTCTCGGTTGCACTGCTTGACAAAATCTCTTCCCAGTGCCTGCCCAAGTATGCGAGCTTTGACCAGGAGAAGCGCAGATCCTGCCAGGGGCATGTCTTGAGGAGAAACCCTACCACGAGATATCTAAGTTTCCGAAGGGAACAAAACTGCCACGGCCGCAAGCTTCCTCCATGCTCGATAAGCCCAAGTTCTCCTGCACGATGGCATAGGCAACATCCCGCGGTTGGGCGGCCAATCCACACCCAAGGAGGTTCAGGAGATCCCTATCGGCACGGCAACCCTGGACTGAATCAAGCACTCGGAGAATGCCGTTTGGTGCGCCCTTCGGCAAAGACCAGAAGATGTTGCCATCCTCGCAGGCCACCCACTGCGATGCTGAATCCGGTCCAGCCCAGGCACCCGTGACATCACTTCTCGTTAGTGGGAAGAGAGGAACCTTTCGCAGCATCATGGTATCGATGTCGTGCTTCTGCCACGCCAGTTCTTGCACCACCTTCTGTCTCCATCGATTGCCCCTAGCCTGAGACACACAGCCCGCACGGCCCGCACAGCACGAAGCGAACCGATTCTTGAGCCCAGGGGCCTGCCAAGGAGAGCCTTCGCCTTCGCCGCTGGGCAGGCTCAGGAGATGAAGCAAGTCGAGAACCCCAAAGTCTCGGAGCCCAAGATCCGTGCCTTCAGGAAGTTGACTCCTGCAGGCCGCCACATGAAAAGCGGATACAGTGTTCCCTGATTCCCTAAACATTCAAGAAGTCACAAGGACGCTGTGTGCAGGCCGATCGACAAGTACTCGGAGGACGGTATGCCCAAGTCAATCAGCTGCAGCTCTTCGGGTCCCAACGCGAGCTCTCCTCAAGCCAAAGGTTCCTACAAGCGGTGGGGTTGAGTCCCATCAGGACGTGTTTAGTCACAACATCCCTCTTGTCGCGCCCCGGTCCGCTTTTAATCATATCACCCGCTTTCATCAGAAACCCTAGTTGCACGCCGCGTGCCGCAGGCGTTCGTGCCTATTTTGTACTCCCATTGCCTCGTTTTATCACATCAGCAATAGCGAAACCCCAGTCGCACATGGCCCGGATGTGGGTTTAAAACACATGTAACGGAATGAATGAAATGGCCGCGTGACGCAGGTATTCGTGCCTACTGGAAATGGCCGCGTGCCACAGATATTCGTGCCTATTTTGCACTCACATCGCCTCGTTTCATCACGTCAGCAATCGCGAAACCCAGTTGCACATGGCCCGGATGTGGGTTCCAACACATGTAACGACATGAATGAAATGGCCGCGTGCCGCAAGTATTCGTGCCTATTTTGCACTCACATTATCTCGCTTCATCACATCAGCAATAGTTCATGGTTCATAATGGTCCATACAAAGACGTGAAATCAAGAAACAAAGACTTAAAAACCACCGACCCGGTGATGGACTCCCCTCATGCCCTTCACATCCCGGACCCTTGGTGCATAGTCAACACCACAGAGAATACAGAGCCAAGCCACCCAGGAGTCGAGACTCTGCTTTGCGACAGCGTGTCACTGGCAGCCGTCGGGCCTGGCCGTGACCTCCCAAGCCCACTCTACAGTGTGCGCATCACGCGCTACTCCGAGATCACACATATTCATCTACATAGTGCAGGTACTTAGACATACATATATACATAAATACGCAACACAAAGGTCCATATATACATATACACATGTACACACACACACATACATACGTATGTACGTACGTACATACATACATACATACATATGTATACAAATACATGCATATACTATTATATTACATGTTCTATTTCGTTGCTTGATTGTTCGTTCGGGTTTCTGCACAGTTACATATACATGCATCTGTTTATCTAATCGTATGTATAACCTTATTTCGTTCTGTTCTGCCCTATTCTGTTTCATCGATGTATTGGTTGCTTGATTAAGCAGCATGAGTCCTGAAACAACCGTCTTGCGGCCAGTATCTACAATGATTAAGCTTACTTCTGTTAATGATGTGTTTACCAGCCCTTGATTTCTTTGTGGCACATCTACACGTACAAAATTGTGCGCGTTCTTATTCGTCTTTGCCGTATGTGCGAATCTAATGCCTTGTCGACTTGGACTTCGACGTGCAACGATTAAAACAAATCCAGACTGTGAAGTTTTTGACAGTTTGCAGAAGCCACATCTGCCCATCCACAGTGCCAAGGCGGTTCTCGGCATTGAGGCTTTCAAGAACCGGGCTAGGAACACGCAACGATTTTCCAGTAAGCATCAGTAAGGTAAGGGCGTTCTCGTCATCCAGTGCGACTTGCTATTTCAGGGTACCTTTCCCCGCCTGCACGCACAGGTACCAAGGAGATCTCTTGCAGGCCAGATCGCACACGATGCAGGAAGGGCGACCAAAACGGCAGTTGAACCAATTCCGGACCTGGCTGCAGTGTCCAGGCCCGTGCAGCCAGTGCAGAGCCCTCCTGGGCTTCCTCCACAGCCTTGAGCCAAAGCTCGGCCAAGGCATCCCGCAGGGCCGCATTCCGCACACTGCCCTCGAGCAGGGCTTCTCGATTCGCTGTCAGATCGAAAGGCGCATCCAGTGGCGTCTTCAAGCCCGGCAGTGCGCATAGAGGAAGCGTGGTCGAAATCCAAGATGCATCTGCAGTGCTTCTGTTTAGAGGAAACGCAACAGCAATGCTCGGATTTGAACCACGTGCAATGTGGTAACCATGCTGCTGTCTCGTCCCTGCGGTTTCCACCACTTCCACAGACCCCTCATCCCCGTCTCTACGCTCGTACGTGCACGTGCGACCGGCAGTCTCCAGCGAGAGCGAGCGCAGCTGGCGCAGGAAGAGCAACGTTGATGGCACCTCGGCTCAGCTGGGTCTGCCACCTGGGACTTCGAAAGCAAAATCGCACCGGATCAGTAAGGCTGGCACGATTTCTTGGAGAAGATCGGGCACAGGCTTGCGCAGGGGTAGGTAAACAGCCGTGCCAGCAGATGGGGGTTCTCGTGGAAATGATGTGCTTTGTCGAACCACATGGGGTGTGACATGCGGTAAGATGCAGTCGGCCCCGTCATCAAAGAAAAACCTGAGTCTTCCATCCACCAAGGACAGAAGCACAGCTGATGCGTCAGGAGACCAACCTACCCAGTCTTACCAAGAACTAAACCCATTGCTGTTGCCTCAAGATACCTGAATGGATTGGAGAGAATGTGAGGCCTCGAAGACAAAACGAAGCTGGCTTTGAACCCAACTCCTTTGTGCCCTGTCTGTCCCGGTCCCTTCAGTGAGAGACCCAAACTGCACAGCGCTTTCACGTCTTGGAAAGTGAAGCCCCTCTCATTGTATTCCAGCCACAAATACCGAGGATCCTCTACAATGGTGAGATGCGGCGTGCCCTGGTATGTGCAGTCATCTGCATTCTGAAGGAGCTCCCAAAGAGCTCGGGAAGGACCGGAGTACAGTTCGCTGGACATGAGCCTCAAGGAATTGCGAAGCATCGTAGCCGCTGGCTGCGGGAGATGCTCACGCAGCTCCTGGCTTAAGGCCTCTATGCTGGCATCTCCCCCTGCATCGTAGCTTTGCAGGCGGCCATCGTGACTACGTTCTCCTGACCCTGCGACTTGTGGATCTCGGCCAGTGCCTTCCGTTCTAGCATCCTGCGGCGGGAAGATGCTTCGCCTGAGCGTTGCCAGCTCGTCTTGCAGCTTCTCCAGAGCCGAGCGCGCCATGTTTCGATCATGCAACGCGTCTTGTAGAGTCGCTTGCGAGTTGCGGAACTGTTCCTGCAGCAACTCGTACGACTGGTGCTTTGCCACTGCATCAAGGCTGCAAATCTGTGCCGATGCCCCTGCTTTTGAGCGCGCGAGCTGGGTTGAAGCAGCCAGCACTTTATTTAAGATCTGGCCAGCGGCCAGCTGCATCTCTTCCTCTGACGACGCGGCGAAAGCTCCAGGAACACCGGCCCGGTCAGCAAGTGCGTCTAAGCAAGCCCGCAGAGAAGGAGCCACGTGGGCCAGACCCCCATCTTTTTGCAACTTGTTGTGTGTGCGGATGCCAAAGGGTGCTTTCCAGGAGATGGCCACCTCATCCTGGGCCATGTCAGCCACGATCATCAACCTGGTATCACTGCCATGCTCCAGGACCCAGGGGCCGTAGATTCTAGCCTTCGTGTGTACGGACAGAAGCTTGCGGCTCAACTCAACATGGACGCCAAAAGCCTCGGGACTCCCAGGCTCAACCAGAACATCGAATGTTCCGATCTGAACGCATACGCCCTCGTATTTGGAGGTCACTGCAGCTATGGGTACAACATGTTCGCCAGGCGCCTCCTGCACTGCCAGTTCACTCAATCGTCTCAAGCACTTCATGTAGCTAATGTCATCACCATCTTCCGCACTGGTCATGATGTAGAAACAACTGTCATCCGGCTTGTGGGATCTGCTGTTGGGGCCAACCTTGATGAACTGCATTCCTTGCAGTTTCCGCTCGGCGTCGGGGTGATATGAAAATACTGCCTTCATCAGCTTCTCATGATCGGGGCTCAGTCGACCTGACCCATCAGAGGTGTTGTAAAGACTCCGTATTTCCACGATCTCTTGCAGGAGATGATTCACAGATTTGAAGTCGCGGCCTGCAACCCGTGCAGGTACATCGAAGTTCTTGTGGTCGACGGATTACATCTTGGTTGAAGCGGGAACGACAAGCTGAATGCGGCACCTTGGTGCCGGATGTGTCACTCTGTCGATCTCTCTCGTTCAATGACTGAACATGCTCCGAAAGCCCCGCCCGGATCCACTGGCAGACACGGAACTGCCCAGAGACCTCGAAGTACAGCTCCCCCACTCCACCTAGTAAGTGGTTGCGGTTGAAGACTTTGGCTGACTCGCTGCCCTGCTCCCCACGCTCTCCGCCACCTGCAAGTATGGCAGTGGTGGCAACCGTACCAGAGGAAGATGGGGGGCGGGGGCTTTCGATGCACTAACGCGCATTCGTTGTAGAGGAAGTGAAGACCGAAGGTCCGCAGTGCAACATTAAACCAACGGCCGTGTGCCTCGCAAAAGTGATCGAAAGCTTGCAGCTACAGGGCCGGACAAGGGAAGCCTTTTGCGATCATGTTGTCTGATATTATATGATATTATATTATATTGTAGTATAGCCGCAGCGCCTGGCCAGAGCACCTCCCGTACTCTGCCAGTGTCCGTGCACGGAGTTGGGACAAGGACGTGGTCCCATCCACGGCCTTTGTCGCCTTTGTCAGAGCTCCACCGACCCTTGGGCTGGTCTTCAAAATACCCGGAGCTCGATGTCGACTTTCCTTTTTGGCCCTTTTGGCCTTTCTGGCCTTTCGCATGGGAGCTCGGCTCACCCCACCCGCCCTTTCGCCCCAAGCCGCCCATGCTTTGGCAGCTCGTCCAAGGCAGTGCTCTGCAATCCGGGAACCATCTGGCTTGGCCAAGTGGCCAGGGCTTCTTGAGAGTCGATATGTTTCACCAAAGGGGAAAACATGCCGCAGAAATTGCAATACAACTCAGGTTCGGCACTCCGCCCCATGCTGCTCCATGCAGTTTCAACACCCGCTGACCTTTCTGGCACATGTCTTGCACAGCCTTCACATGCAACGTGCGAGCTTTGCCAAACTTTGGGCTTAAGCATCCTGCACTCTGAGCACTTTGGCTCGCCAAGAACCCCTGGCAGCTGCTGCTAGCCATGCCGAAGTCGAGTCACTGGTTCCATGATGCCTCGTGTGACGAGCTTCTGAAGCCAGCCAGGTGCCACATTACATGAGCCCAGCCAGCCCGGAAGCCTGCGGTAGTGCCTTGCACCACGGCCAGGAAATGCCTCGGAAGAACGGCGCGCTCAAACTTCCTAGGTTCTTTCGTGCCCGACCACCCACTCACTGAAGCCAACCCCAAGGCTGCCATTTCATCTGGGCGGCTGCTCCAGCTGCTGGTGTTCAAGGTGCTCGAATTGTGCCCTTGACCAGTCACAAGCGGTTTCCAACTGTGCCTCCAGGATCTGGCAAGATGCCGGGCTCTTCGCACGAAATCCTCAAGATCGTAGACATCCTCGCCTGAGTGCTTCTACACAAACTCTCCGGGCTCTCCAGCTCCAATGCTTCTCCGCGGATAGCTTCCCTTGACTCTAATCTGCTCTCTGCTTCAGGCAACTGCTATCCAACTCCTGCACCAGAACTCCCGCTCGATGCCGTTGAGCCTCAAGGCTGTTGTGGGTACTTACCTAGTTTTCGGCTTCAGCACTTTCTGCCCTAAAGTTGCATTTTACCGGGTTTGAAAGGAGCTTCGGCTCTCTAATCAACGACACACTCGGAAAAGCAAGTCCCGTCAGCCCAGTGTTGAGGCCGCATTTTTTCGCGGGGGGGGGGGGTCGANNGGGGGGGGGGGGGGGGTCCTACATCGACCCCCCCCAATACCAACATCTTTTCTCACTGCTTCCTGCGGGTCGGTGCTTCTCGGAGTACTACAACACTTCCCCTACGACTTTTAAGATCGAATTATCGAACTTTAGTCCTTGCCTGCAGCCTGCAGCAGACTGCAACGGGCCCCCCTAACTGAGCTTTCAACATTCTCGGCGAAGCATTGGACCAGCAGACGACCGAAGAGATAATAACCCTGCAAGCCAGTCTGCAACAAAACTTGAATGCACGTACTTGCTGCAGGACAGAGAGATGGCTTTTGCAAGTCCAAGTTTCGTGTTCCGTGTGTAGCAAAGAGACATTGTCAGATGAAGAAGCCGAGACATGCCGAGACGATTGGAAATACCCGATGCGGGATCCCTGACTTCCCATCAACTGGCTACAATATGCATGTACAGACTAACATGCAATTATCTTCGGCTGCAGCTCTCAAAATAAAGCGAGCCTACCCGTGAGCAGACGATGCGGCTCACTGTAAGGACGAATGAGTGCTGTCTGACTAACTGATCATGCAATCAAGCAGGAAAAAGCGCACACACTCTCGACGGGCCTGCTCTTTCAGCTTCGTAAACATAACCAAATTCCTGCACCCCGGCCACACTCAAAAAGCTCTGCACAGTGCTTGGCTAATCAATTCGGAAGAGCCGACTTGGCCGTCGGCCCAATGCTTTCACGGATAACGAGAAGCGTCCTTCTGCCATTGCTGAAGTCGGCAATCCTTTCATCCAGTACATCCCCTGCAGCAGGGACGTAGGCCTGTCATGCCCACACCAACACGGCAAGCTGCCTAGTGTTGCCTGCAAGATTATGATCACCAGTCCAGGTGCCGGGCAGTGCTCATTTCTACTGGCAGAGCCTCGCAGCAGACATGCTGCAACCACTAGGGACACCAGGATGGCAGCCCTTTGGGGCATTTCGGATGCAAACTTTCAGAAATACTCTCCACCGCCGTGCGTCGCTACATCTCAAGTTCCTGGCCGTGAACATCGTGGCATCTGTCGTCTGCCCCAGCGTGCCTTGGCAAATGCACAAAGAACCGCGAAACTTGCCGCTTGGATGGAACTCAGCATGTTGAGGCTGCACCACTCTGCGGCGCATGACGTCCTCTTTTCATTGGTCTTGACAGAAAGACTGGCCGTACAGCACTTGTACACGTCTGTGAAATGCTCAGCCACTTGACTTCGGCTTGACCATTTATAATGCATGTTGCGGTTGTCCGAGACCAGCCAGGACCCCGGCCGGAGTTCTCCAAGAATGACTGCTTTGTCTCTTCGAGCTCCTCTTGCAACCTGACAGCCGCAATGAAGGAGAATGAACCGCCTCACTCCTTCCGTGTTCGCGCCTTCGGATCACATGATCCTCCAGTAGAACAAGATTAGGGGTTTGCGCAAGACCATGCATCCCGTCCTTCATTGAGATGACCTGCGCCGCCACCTGCAAACCAAGGTGCTCTTTCCTTTCCGATCGAGTGGAAGCTAAGGCTGGCCTCTGCAGAGCCTATCTCTTCTCCCAGGGAGCGGATGACATGATCCTTAACAGGGTTGCGGGCTTGTTGCCTTACTGCACCCATCGGTATCTGCTGGGGTTCGGCCGAAGACACTTCATGAAGCCCTTGTCACGCAGAAAGACAAGCTTGCCTTCATGGCAATCACGTGGCGCAACTCCTGAAGCTCGTCTTCCCGGTGCACGAGGAGGTCCTTCATCAGCACTCGGAGGGTTTCATCTCGTACGAAATCTGACATAAGGATGTGGCCTGCAGATCCTGAACCTGCAACTCGTCGTAGGAGCGAAGCAGCGTCGAGCAGCCTTCCAAAATCGCTTCTTGGTCAGTCCTTCACTGCCCTACGCCGAACTACCCCGGCCTTCTCCGTCTTCCTCAGGAGGACCGGCTGTTGACCGAGTTGCTGACCGTGGCTCTACGGACCTCGGGAAAGGCAGCGGCTGCTGCTGCTGCTGCTTCAGAATCATTCATGCAGTGTCCTGGTGCCCTTTAGGTCATCACGTGATTTGACCGCGAGCTCATTCTGTTGGCTTGCACGGAGGATCAAGTCCATGAGGGCCCTGCCCCTCTGATTCGCCTGAATCATAGATTTCCTGCGCAGACAGAATCTTGTACAGCAATTGCGACTATATCAACCCGTAGCAAGCTCAAGTTTAAACTTGTGCATGCTCACTCTCGCAATCGGCGTCAATCCTCCCCGTTACATGACCTGTTGGGCAGTTAGATCTGGTTTTCTTCGGTGACCCAGACATGCTCAAGATTGATGGTCCGACTACCCGGCCCGAAAGAGACCCAGAAAAGCGTCAGCATGGCACATTTTCGGTTGACCTCGATGCGCACCAGCGGGATGGCTTGTCCGCTTCTGAGACCATGAGCCTCCGTGAAGCAAGTGATGGCATCCGAAGAGATACCGTCGGGTGGTTCGGGTGGTGGCTAGCCCGGGCCTGCATGGCTCAAGTGCCTGTCATCGGCACAGACGGCTTCAGCTTCTTTTGCAAATAGCTGATTGGCTGGGGTCGAGGACCTCATGATGGTCCTACACAGCTACGAAATGCCACGAAGGAATCCAACTCTGCAGTGAGCCTGCCCTCTGAGTGGCGCAATCAAATGAGATGCGTCGGCAACATGTGCAGCTTGCACAACACGGTTTCTTGCTTTTCTCGCCCGGAACAAGAGATCACCACCGTTTTCAGCAAGGGCCGGACCTGGTCACATCCTGCACTTCGGTAGCACCGCATCAACTTCAGAACGGGAAAAGCACGCACCTATCCGCGGCCCGCTCCATAGCGAAGTCGCGAGGATCTCTGCCTCACTGCGAGCTTCTAGGCCGGAACAAACGGACCCAATTCGGTGGGAATTCAATCGCCTAGAAGGGAGGCACCGAACCCTCCTCCATCTCCCCTTCAACTGCAAGTCGAAGCAAAGGCGCTCCATGTAGGCCGTGGTTGCATCCTTGGAAGAGACAGACATGAAAAAGGCTAAAACGAACGTTCGCGGCCAGGCCCCGAGCCACCGTGCGCCAACCTCAGTCACGATTCTTTGTCATCTTGCTTTTACATCATGTCATATCATGGCAGATCATGTCATATCACATCATACCATAGTAGAGTACAGTACAGTATCGCGCCGTAGAGGACAGTACAGTAGTGTAGAGTGCTGTATAGTACAGAATAGCATATAGCGTAGTATAGCTTAATCCGTTTAATCGAAGAGTCGAGTTGAGCAGAGTTGAGTACAGTTGAGTTGAGTGGAGCATAGTATAGTTATATTGCAGTGTATTATGTTGAACTTATATTGTTTTATGTTAACTAGATTAATTCGTGGTATGTTGGTTACCTCGCCCTACCACGCTTCCAGGCAGTCTGCGCCAAATTGTGCTGGCTCGGTGGCAAGGCTCTAAGGTCTGGACTTGGCCAGGTCTCCTGCCTGGGGCTGGCCTCGCTGACGTGTTCGCGATTTGGAAAACAAGGGGGCCCTCGATCCAAGCATTAGATCGGCTCCTTCATACAAAAAAACCTAGCCAGGAGCCCCTAGCGCGTGAGCCGTTGGTCAAATCCATGTGCCGTACAATCAGCACCGTCTTGCAGAGATCTTCTGCAAATCCGAGCATTGTGTTTCTCGTTGGGGCATGCGGGCAAGCCTTTGCCTCTGGACGACCTCCGTCACCAGGGCGCCAGACCTAAGCCACCCCAGCGGCAGAGTGTGGAAAGGGCCTTGTTGAGGTCGGTGCCTCTGGACGGCCCAGGACAGGCTCCTTTCGTGTGCATGTGGCATAAGGGGCAATAAATGAGCTATCCCTGAGATCGGTGGGATCCATGATGTCCTGACAACAAAACACGGTGGCGGTGCCTGGTTGTCCAAGACATCGTCCCAGCAACCACAAGTCCTCTGCGCATCATGAAGGAATTTCTGGAAATCGAGCGGTGCATCGTCACCAGAGACAGTCACACAGTCCTTCCAATGCCGCCGACCCACCTTCCAATCCGGCCCTGCAATTTCGAAAAAGATCCACCGGCACTTCAGAAACAGGCAACGAGGATCACTACTGGCCGATGACCGCAAAGCGCAAATGAGCAAGCTGGAGATTGTCGCAAACCACAGATCCAGTTTTTTGCGTAGTTGCGTTGGTCATTATCCGGCTGGACTGCTCCAAGCCCTTGCCTGCACTTCCAGACAACCCCGGCTGGGTGCCGACTGGGCTTAGGCAATCCTCATTAGCATATGAAAGCCCTCAGGGCTTTCGAAAGGCTCAGATATTTCGCCCAGGGCCAAGGAGAACGCGACTTCCTGCAGCAGAAGATGATGAAGGGTCCATGCAACCTTCGTCTTGTGCATCCTGCCTCGACTTCTGGCGCCAGATGACCCGAGGTAACTTTCCCAAGGTCTCCGCCATTCTGGACGTCGGCAGCGCTGTCCGACTGCTCCCTGACGGAAAAACGCATCTGAAGGATTCCGAAGGCTTGGGCTTGGCACCGGCCAACAGGTTCAAGCCTCGCAAATGTTGCAAAGGCACGCTGCTGAGCCATGCCACCGCTCGTGGCAAGCCTGTGGATCAGAGACACAGGCTCCGGCCACAGCCAACCCATGATCGATGATGCAGACTCAGCCCTACACTTCTTTCGAATATTGCCCAGTGCCAGCTTTGCACGGCCCTTCGTGACCTGCGGGCAAGGCCCATGGGCAGGCGCATCAGATCGCGGGAAAGGGCCGGGCCTTCACTTCCTGGCCGTTGGCATCTTTGGGCTCCTTGCTCCCACTGTGCTTCTTGATGATGTGCAGAACCTGCACCTGGCAGGCAACTGCAAAATCTGCAAATCAGCAACTGCTTAGGACCTTTCGCGCAATTCTAGCCTGGGCCGGCCATCACCCTCTTAGCTTATCTGCTGCACCCGGCCTCTCCGGGTTGGTCTGCTGCTTTGCGGCGCTTTGCCGCGCGATCGCCGAGGCCAGGGCCTGCCAAGTCCTCCCGAAGCTGCAGGGACCATCCCATCATCACATCGCGCCCAGTCGAGCACACCATGCTTCCAGTCTAAAGCAGGTCGGGACTCAGGTAGGAAACATACCAAGTTTGTCTGAAGGTGCTGTTGCACCTGTTGCCTCACGCAGACAGCATTTATGTAAACGCGACTCCTCACTGATCGCCACATTCGCCGATCCCCTGATTTCCTCGGACGCACAAGACAAGACTGTTACTTGACTGATTGAAGCTGCACTCATCGGCCGAGCGGCGCCGCAGTCATCAACAACAGCGGAAGCCGACGGCACGCCGTTGTCTTGTCCACAATTCTCCACGCGCCTGCCAGGAAGACATGCCAAAATGAACACGACACCGTGCAGCCCTTCGTCTCCATGTTCGATGCAGCTGTGAATGTTCTCGTAAACACTTCTTGTGTACTGCGACAATTGCTTGATCCTTGCTCGATCGTTGTGTTCCATGGCAGACCTACACTGTCTGCTCAGCTTCTGCACAATATGCGTGCCTGACCGTTGGTCCTCAATTCCAGGTCACGTTTTTGATAACATCAGCCAACTGGCCAGCCGAACAGTTTCTCTTTGCGCTTTCTTTTTGACATCGCAAGGAGTTTGTCGAGGCTTTACTCTAGCAAGCACAGCAGCCTGGCAACATCCATTCCGTCAATGACACGGCCGAAGACACAGTGCTTGCCGTCCAGATGTGGGCAGGCCTCAGTCTTCCTAGTCTGAGAAGACAAAGACCAGAAGGCAAGTGACAAGACTTTTCAGCATCCGGCCTTCATGCAAATGAAGAACTGAGAAGAGTTTGTGTCCTGGAATGTGTGAGGGGTCTGACCGAACCTTGTAGATCTTGAAACCCAGTTAAGACCCGACACGTGATCTGCTTGTGTAGGTTCTGAACAGCTGTCCCAGAGATTCGACTGACAGCCTTCGATTCAGGCAACCGCCCGGCCTTACCACTGTTGGCCATGCTCAGGATGCCCGGCGCGGTGTGCTTTAAGTTCCTCATCACTAGTTACCCGCAACTTCTGAAGCGCTGGCTGGGTGTTGAGTGCAAGCTATCAACTGGTTCTAGCCAAGGGCACAAATTCTCATCTGGGAAGGTTGGGCCGTACACGGACTCGCCGCCCGTTCCATCACCTCAACTCAACATACTGTAAACAGCTTTCGCGCGGAAGCTTGCATATTCGATAACCATCGATAACCACTTTGCAGGTACCAGCACACGCAAGCTCAGGAAATCGCCATGAGTGAAATCCCCAGCTTGGATCACAAAATTGGGCACAACACGGTGGAACTTCACTCCTGCATGCACGCATGGGGCAAGTCCGCGCAATCCCACTGCCTATTCGGATCCGTCAGCTGGCCTTTGTAATGAAGCGGTTTACCTCCGGACAACTTTTGACAGCTCACAAGTTGGAAACATCGCGACGACCAGCTAATTCAAGATAGATGTCAGGTTTGTGGTAGTGTATGCACCTCTCTTTCCGATGCCTCTGCTGCCAGTGCACAATAAGCCTTGCATCACCAACAGTGGCAACATCGCATGATGAGCGCCACACGCCACCAACGCGTGAACAAGCAGCGGAAGTTTTCAGCTGTTTGGGGTACAACGTCATTGAAAAGCTCGCAAACCTGAGGCACAATGAATCGTAAAACAATTCCGAACAATTTTGGTCATGCTGAATGTTTCATGGAGAGACAAAATTTAGCCAAGTTGTCAAGACACAATTCGCCCAACTGGCGCTGCATCAATCGCGATGTCAAGGTAAACACGTGGTCTGTTGGGGGCATATTCTGGGACCACCTCGGCTTGAAACTGATCGGCATGTGACGAACAAGTTGGCTTCATGTGCTGTCGGAACACATCCGTACGGCCGCGATGTTTCGTGAAGGATGCGCCAATGTCCTTACCAAGAGGCTGGGCACATGTTGCTGGTTCAAGCGCAGTTTGACTTACATTTCACATGTGGCTGAACCGGGGCCGGTGACACGCTCAATCAATGTCTCCTTTAATTCTTGCTAGCTGAGCATCTTTGTTCCCAATCTTCCATCCTGATTCGTCCAACGCGTCTTATGCATGCGACAATGCCGAAGACAGCTGCTCAATACCTGCCTAGGTTTTCGCGCCCGCTGGACGGCATTGTCGGTGGTTCAATGCGGCTGGTGATGCATGCTGCGAAATTCTTACACAACTTCAAACTCAGTAGTATTGTGATTTGCGTCTATGTTTTGAAGTCTTGCTGTATCAAGCCACGAACTCCACCCGACGTCACTTAAGGACTGAGTGTGCGTGACTGTGCGCTTCATGTTTAGCATCCTTGGCTTGACCCGAGAGGTGCTAGGCTGCTAGGCTTCACATTCAGCCCATGTCCAAACAACTCCATTACATTCGTAAGCAACCCGGCCTGGAACGGGCCTTGGTAGGCTAGATGATGCTCCTGGATCGAAGCCGCGACCACAGCGCATGCGTTCATCTGTGGACATGGCAGCTGCACGTACTCCACCATGTCTCTCTGCAGGCAGCTGTCTGAACCTGCATTTCACGCCAACCGCTGTGGGAGTGCAAAGCAGTTTTCGTCCGAAATCTGATTTGCAAGAAACCATGCCAAACCATAGCGTTGGCGTTTACTTGCACATCCTTGGTCCGACCCGAACCAAAACAACAGCCATCGTGGCAACATAGCAACAACTCATCGCACCATCGACTTTTGAACAACTTGATTTCATGTTGGTGCATCATGATTAGTTCGCATGTTTGTCGCAGGCACAGTGGCGCAGCTGCATTTGATGATCTTATGATTGCTGACCACTGTTAACACCTACCGACGCCCATTGACTATCCCAATGTGATGTTACGGTACGGATTTACCATTGTTTGCGATTCGCTGGGTGATGCATGCCATCTGGCTGATGCCACCTGCACAAGATTTGCACATGCTGAAAAACGATTTGCGCAGTCTTATTTCCCGAACAGCTTTACCCCGTCATTCGCAGTCAGCATTCGCGCAGCACTTCAGCCTAGGCACTACTGCCGCGTAGCAAAAATGGCCAACACGCCGCCCAAGCGCGAAAGGGCCGAGTGTCAGGGGCCGGGGGGACGGTTCGCGGGAGGCCAGCGCGTGCTGCGCTTCCACAGCCAGTAGTTTTCTTTTCCCCACCGACTTTTTTCTTTGAGTTGCCCAACGAAAGGCGTTCCAGTCGTCTTTTACTACACTACCCATTCCACCATCTTCGGCTGCAGTGGTCCCCCGTCACGTCCTGACAGGTAAGCGGCTCTGGCCGGCAATGCAATGGGCACATGGCGCCCGACAGCGCTACGCTTGGCCTGCAAAGTCTGTAAAGCTTGTGCGACGGCATGGCGTCGGTGATCGTCGGCGGGCACCGCCGGTAAGTCAAACTGGGGGTGGATGCAAGCACAATTCGAAGCCCTCATGGAAACTACGCCACATCGGACAGGACAGCGAAAGATTCGAAGCAGCAAGCCGACCAGAGAAAGGCAAAAAAAGCTCAGTTGGGAGTGGGCGGGCGGCGTGAAGGATCGCGAAGCCCAGCAAAGGTATCAGCTGGGCGACACGGCCGCGCCATCCTCGCCCAACACCCCTTGCGGGCCTGCAGCCCATGCAGTGCTGGGCGCGCGGCTGGTGGAACATGTTGCCCGTCGCCCTGCAGTGAGCCGTAGCCAGCTCTGCATTGAGCGTTAGGCCCAAGCATGTCCAAGCCGTTCCCGGGTGTGTTGTTGGTAGCACCCTGTAGGAGACTAGGTAGCTCACGCCGGGACACTTTGTGCGGACGCAAAAATAAACGCAAGAAAAAAAGTGGAAAAGGCGCACATTCGTGGCGCCTTGCCAGCTGCATATTTTTTTACCCACGGACCTTTTTACCGGCGTCGTCCAAGCAGGGCCCACGTGCAAACCCAAGTCCAGGACCGACTGCAAACTACGTGGCACGAGGCACGCGGCTGGCGAGGGGTGGCTCACAGGCGGAGTCGGCAAGGACGTCGCTCAGGAGCGGGACGTCGCCGTCGAGATTGGCCGTGCCGGCCAAGGGGAAGGACAGAAGGCTAGCGGCAAAGGAACGGGCGGCTGCAAAGGAGAGCAAAGCGAGCGAGCAACGAGCCTCACAAAAGAAGCGGCGTCATGGCTCCAGAGGCCGCCGAGCTTTGTCTTTGCCAAGACAACGAGCTTGCACCTGGCAGCGTGGCGGAGCTCGGGGTATGTACGCTCCTTAGCTTTGCTTGTACCAAGGCTGCACCGGTCGTGCGGCCGCCTGCTCGGCGGAGAACGCCGGCGCAGGTCAGGGGCGAGACCGGGGTCGTGTCAACTGCGAGTTGAGCGCCACCCTACAATTCAAGACCGTTGGCAATGACTTCAATGCGGCGCTCGTCCTGCCTGGCTGCATCAACATTCAAGCCACGGAGGCGGACATTCACGGCGACTGTGGCGCCAGCTTCCCTGCACATGCGGGCTGCTGCACGCTCGAAGAGCCTACCTCTGGGGGGACAGGCTGCCATGATCCCTAAAGAGGTCGTGCTGGTGACCGCAGCGGCAACGGCAACGGGCAGCGGTGAGAGGGAGCGGCATGCGGAGCCGGCGAAGGAGCAAGACGCGAAACAAGGAAGAGACACTGGCAGCATGGGGCCCAGCTTGCGAGTCCAGCAGTGCGAGGCCAGGGGCGAACTCGCGGCAGATGGCGCGGTGGCAGAAGTCGGCGCTTGCGAGGCCTGGCGTTGCCTATGCGTAAGGTCAAAGGCCCCGTCGACCTCAGGCAGCACACGGGGTGCCGTGGTGAACGCATCCGACCAAGTGGGCAAGTCGAAGCCAATAGCGTGCGTCCCTCAAGCACACAAAGGCATATGGCAGGGAGCCGGTACCATCAAGGCAGCGATGGCACGTTCGAACGCTCGGCCACGGCGCAAAAGGGCCAGGAAAAGGTCAACCCAAGATGCCCAGTATGCGGCATCTGCATGGCGCTGAGCGCTGCGCAAGCCAAGTGTACCATGATGCGGCACGGGCGGTGGCGAGGGCTGGTAGTCCAACCGCGTCGTCGGCCTCGAGTCAAGCGCTCATGCAAGCAAGACAGTACGGCGGCATCGTGGCCAGCTGCGTACTCTCTGGTATCGACTGGGGGAAGTGCGCGGAGCGCATATTGAGCGCGGGGGCCTGCACAAAAACACAACAGCATACAGCAGCAACCAAGCCATTTTGGTGTCGGCCAGCACCGACAGCCGATTGAGGAGGACACGCTCTTTCGCCAAGAGGGGGTTCAAGTGGGCAGCGACAAACTCTCGCGTGCCAAGAGGGACCCCAAGTGCAGCTGGGTCGTGAGCGGGGTCCCCGACCCAGACGTCATGGTCGGGGGCGGGCGAACACACAACGGACACAACGTCCGGCAGGACTCCAGCACTGTTCCACACGCGGGTCTTGGTAGGGTTCAAGCGAAAACGCCCTCGCATCTCTGAGCGGCAATAAAGCTTGTGCACGTGGTCTGGCGGGGCAAGGATGTATGCATCATCACGGAAGAGTCAAGTCAAGTCAAGTCCTGCGTGCCATAAGGCGGCCTCTTGGAGGAGCAGGCAAAAGAATGCAACCCTACAATTATACAAAATCAGACACTGTGCCAAACTGCGGTTGAGCATGACATCACGTCCACGTCAAATTCATTCTAAACAAAACCATGTAAATGTCATGATTGTGTACAGATCTGTACAAAATCCAAGAAAGCATCAC